ATTTATTATTTATTTTTCACCTTTTTCACCTTTTTCACCTTTTTCACCTTTTTCACCTTTTTCATTTACAGGAACAAAACCAGGTACATAAAGAAGCCGACGAGGAACCGGAGCCTTGCTATCCACGTGTGTGGGAACCAGGTAATGATCATGAATGAGTAGAACTGGGTCGTCGGGTCGTGTCAGCGCCTGCCTCCCTGACGATGGGATGGATAACTCACGTATCGAAACGCCAACACGGACATGAGGCCAACCATGAGCTTGTTTTCGAACAGCCATTTGCCCTGTCTAACCAGAGCGACGCCAAAGTTAATCATGGCCGCGACGACAAACGGGCCGATCCACCACGTTATTACCGTGATGAATGAGCACACGCGCTCAATCCAAATAATCCCCGGCCGGAACACCATGACGAACTCGTTCGACTTGCTGCCAATGGCCCATCGCTTGCGCTGCGACAAGAACACGGGCCACGACTGGGGCGCCGTTGTGTAAGCCCGAGCCTTCAGCGCCTGCCGCGTTTGCGACTGGGGATGCCGGGAAAAGATGATGGAGGCGTGGATCGAGTCCTCGGAGTAGACGCCCATGATGTGCTGGGTAATCGTGTTGTTGGGCTTGGGCACGTGCCCGAATCTTTGTCGGAGGACGTCGTCGCCAAACGTGGCCTCTTGTACGCGGATGAGCCGACAACATCCTAGGAGTTTTGTTAGCGGCTGCCAAACAGTTCGGCTCCTAATGATCCGCTGCTCCGGGAGTGACTGGGTCTTACCAGGTAGGCAGTTGACTTTGCCGCTCACGCGAGACTGGAACTCCCGTCGTAGCCCTTGGGTTAGGTTGTACTCCGTGTTTTGCATCAGGTTCCTGCTCAATCTCCGGTTAGCAAGCCAAGATTGCCCCTGGTGGGGAAGGGACGGCAACCTACCACCAGCCCCACGGCTTCTCGTCAAACTTGACCAGCACCGCGCCACATACGCCGACGACGTTGGGCCCTCCGCGGCGCATTTCCTTGATCATTTCGAAGATGCAGTCTTCGTTAAACATGGTGTCCCCATCCATGTCGCACAGGTAGTCGACGTGGTGCAGGCCGTGATCCGTTAGGATGGACCCGAGGTAGTTGAACACCTCCTGGTTGAACATTGTGTCCACGGACTCGGATCTGCTGGTGTAGTGGTACAGAAACGACCGCACAAAGCAGAGGCTGTCGCGCTTGCCTTGGTTGTACTTTTTGCCGATGACGACGTAGGGCAAGCCTTGGTAAAAGCCATGCTGGATGGTATTGGGCATGGAGAAGCCGTCCCGGGCGGAGTAGCCATTTGCGAAGTCCTGGCGCTCATCCCCAGCAAACATGTCGTTGAGAATAAAGCCCTGCGTGGAGACAGTCTCGCCCGGCGCCTTGGCATTGCCGTCGACAATGATCATGATGAGTCGCGGGTGCTAGTCGATTTTCTTCTAGTCAACGAGAGATTCCAGGCTCGTCTCGATCTCTGTACTGTCCTCGTTGTAGCAGGGGAGGACCATGACGAAGCTTTCTCGGGCTGCTGGCATGGCATCCTGCTTCTAGCCGACAAGCCGTCCGAGTTTGGTGTAGCAGGCCGACACCACGATGCATAAGGCGAAAATGACCTGGGCAAAGGTGTTGGCGGCCAAGAATGGAAGTAAGATGTACCAATGCTCGTGCAATAGTACCACGCCCCAGATGCCGAGGCCGTTAATAACAAAGAAGGCGAGCAGGAGGCTATATTTCTGGAGGCGCAACAGCACTCTGGACGTCCGGCGCAGCTCCAGCTCCGAGTCCCAAGGCGGCTTGGCCTCCTCCTGGCTGATACTCAGTTCGACCGCGTGGTTAAGAAGGAGGGGACTTGTCGAGTGTGGAACTGTGCGGGACGCTGGAAAGAAAGACATATTAGAGGAGGCGTTTTTTATTACATCATGGTGAGAGGCCGGACACTGCATACCCCCGATGGCCTGCCAGAAGCCCCTTCTGCGGCCTAACCTCGCCGCTTGGCCGGCTATAGCTCACCAGGAGCCAGAGTCACAACGGTGCCGTTCGAAAGCGAAGCAGGTGCCTGGCTAGGCCCAGGGAAGCTAACGTTTCGCCGAGAGGCAGTAGGCGAAGCAGGGAGAGAGGAGATGGACGATATTCGCTTGTTGTGGCTGCCGGTTGTCGTTCGGCTTAGCTGGCGACTGACGGAGCGCCTTGAGGATGCCGGACTCGTTGGTGTTGGTGGCAGCGAGGGCTCAGGCAGCGCGCTAACCTTAGGGTTGTGTGAAGGGCCTGGAGTTGGGCAGCGGGGGACGAAGCTCCGGGCTGACTTCTTTGATGGTAACATGATAACGGGCGAGACCGTGACGGGGAAGGGTTTGATTACAAAAGATATATCGTTGCCAAACTCCGAGCAACAAAACGAGGGGGAACAGCCAGTTGTTTTTGTGCATAAATTTACTCCTGCCAAGGAGCATGATGTTTCCCCTTGCTAAGTGATCGAGACCGAGCAGTATAGCTGCCATGACAAATGGCTGGAACAGGTTTCCTCACATTATGGAATTTCCCGCTGCTACAGTTCCGGCTTCAAGCATCCAGATACCACACGAACTGTTGGCTTGAAACAACCTTAACAGTTAGTTCTGTCTTAAGGTTCAGTCAGGAGCGGCCCACATGTTTGCTCGGCCGAATGGGGACTGAAAACAAGTCCACCAGTATCGCTGCACGGCAAACATAAATGTCTTAAACAGTAAAAGTACCGGCAAAGAAGGACGGCAGTTCAACCGGGCCAACAGGGTGGCAAAATACGCTTGCAACTGGGCCGGTAGCAAGGGCATATTCAGTACTGAAAGCCCAGCAAACCGCTAGTGCGCCATTATGAGAATTGAAGTATTTAGTCCCGCAGGGCGTTCAAACCATGTGATGTAAATCTAGGGATGTGGATACAAAGTCGATGGCGGCAACTTCCCATGTGGCCAGAGGCAAACAGGAATGTGTGGCGGGAATGCACACCGCTGTAGGTTTTGGATTAAAGTAGAGGCTAACTATTTAAACACAAACGCCCGTGGTGGCGCCGCTGTTGTGGCGTTTAAGGTTAGGTAAGACAAGGCCATCGATTCTTGTAGCTTTTACACTATCCGGAACTACCATCACCGCCAGGGGAACAAAAATAAAACAACTAAACGCAAAGAAACTTCCTCCAAATGCATTATCGACACCACCATTCGACGCAAGCACTCCCAACACGTTCCAGCTCGCTGTAGTTAAGGCCGTGTTAACGCATGGATACAACGATAAGATCAAACTGCCGGAGAAACTCTGCATTCCAGTAAGGCTGGCGAAAACCCACAAACGGGTCCCCGTTTAAACCCATGGGTTTTGGGTCCGGCTTGGACCCAAAAACCTAAAAGACCGACCCAAAAATTACCCAGATTTTGGACCCATTACCCAAATAAACCCAAACCCAAAGACCCATTACCCAAATGGGTCCTTTGGGTTTCCGCCAGCCTTACATTCCAGCCCTCGTCAGCGAGCTTTTCGATGCTTGGAATGGCAGCCTGCGTTACAAGGGGGTCCGCAAACACGACTCGGATCGACCTGCTTTCTGCTTCCTTGTTTCCAATGCGTTGAAGCTCCCTGGCAAGCTCAAGACCCGGAGAGTAGCTTAATGTGCTCTGGCCGTGTTTGAAGCCCATGCCTACGACAAGAACTTGGGCAGCACCGAAAGCTTCACTGTCTCGAAGATACTTGGCGTACGCCCTGGCAGCGTCGACGGGGCGACGGCTCATGGCTTCCGAGGCCTGCCTTAGGAGCGACATCTCGCACCCGGATGCGAGTAGGTACCAGGGGTTGACGGGGATGCAGTGGCCACCCACGCCCAGCCCTGGGTTGTAGTTCATGTAGCCGAAAGGTTTGGAGCTGGCCGCGGCGCACACTTCGTAGGGATCGATACTGAGGCCGGCGCAGGCGTCGGCCATCTCGTTGGCGTAGGCGATGTTGATCATGCGTTGGCGGTTCTCATACAACTTGGTAAACTCGGCCACCTCGGGGCGCGACACGGGGACGAGAGTGTTGAAGACGGGGCCGTAGATTCTGGTGATTGCAGCCAAGGACCCCGGGCAAATGTCATCCAGGCCCGAGATGACCTTGGGAATGAGGCGGGCTGGAGGCTCAACCCTGCCAGGGTCGACGCGCTGGGTAATGGCAGTCAACCATGATTAGGGTAGATCTTTGAACTGGAACCTGACTTGATTTGGACTGCTCACCTCTGGCGACATTCCTGCGAAGCAGCCACGAGCTTTGGCCAACGGTCCGAGCAACTCTCTCGTCATGCCAACAGCCACCGAGCTTTCGATGACCACTGTGGCCGCAGTGCGGGCATAGAGAAACACGGTCTTGATGGCGCTCCTCAAATGAAACGTGTCCACCGTCTTGTCGGCACGCGAAAGAGTTGGGGACGGAGATGAGGTAGTGGGTGTCGTCTGCCAGATCCGCGGGGAAGGATGAAAAGCAGACCCTGGGGTTTTGGCGGAACTCGGCCGAGTTGCTGAGTTGGGCAACCCTGCCCTGTGAAAGGTCAAGGCCGCAAATGTCCCAGCAGCTGGAGAAGTTGCTAACAAGGTGCGTTCCGACGTAGCCGACACCGATCACAGCGACAAGGCGCTTAGCGTCAGGGGGGATAGATGATGAGGCAAGTGCAAGGCAGGGCCCCTGGCTGAACGAAGGCGAGTCAGGAGGGCGACTGAGAGGAAGAGAAAAGGGGGCAGAAACGGCTTCCTGCCCTTTGTGGAGAAGGCTAAAGTCCAGTCCGAGCTGTGCCGGGCGTGAACGTGAGGGGACCTAGAAGGAGGGTGGCATGTTTGAGTTGGTGAAAATTGCGCAAACCCTCGGGAAGGGAGGTGAGTGTGGCTGAACAGGAAATAAGAGACGAGCTGTGACATTGAGAATTCTAGCCCTTGCAGCGGAGATGAGTGCTTCCTTTATTGCAAAATGCTTTGATGTTTTGCCATCGTTCCTAACTGCTTGAAGACAGCTTCGTGAACCACTTCGGAGCATTACGACATGTTGCCAAGGACTTTTCGATAATGACTGCAAGCGGATCTAAAAGCAGACCACTAGTTCCAATCCACAGGTTTGGCAGGCCAGAAGCGGATTTTTGGCCGACAGATTCCACAGTTATCCCGAGACTGAAGTGAGCCTACATGGAGATGTAGTTGGTGTGCCAGCACTTTCCGGTATTGGCAATTCTGGCCGAGCTGCTTCGGCCTTTGCACACATTCGGATCCGAGCAGGAAAGATGGCATGATGTTCCTGAAGAGCCTCTTATTTTGCCCACAAGGCCCACTAGCTAGTGATGGTGAACTGCCGGCTCAGGACCCGAGACGCTTTCGACCCACGTGCTCGTGGCCAACCGGATTTGGTAGTTAAAAAGAAATGCGGCGCTAAAAACGGTACACGAGTCATCCGGAACCAAACTGTTTAGCCAAGGACACGGAAGGAACTTGTAACTCCTTTTAGCCTGCATATTTCCAAGCAAATCACAGGGCCTGGGTGATCAACTACAAAAAATGAACAGGGTTACTTAATACAGCAGAAAAAAATGCAAAAGGCCTCGGGGTAACCTGAACAGAGCTAAGTTGCTCAGCATGTAGTTCCATACGCCTGGAACATGCTCCATGGCAAAAGTCCACATCTCATCGTGTTGGGGATCGCCTTCCAGGGCAGAAACGAGACGGAAAGAAGATAGAAAAGAAGATAAGAGAAAAGCGGACGACTGAGTGCACTAATAATACATGCCACAGTGTGGCTCCCTTTCATGACCTGCCCCACGCCCATCGCTGAAATCGTCGTGCCATCTTCACGCAGTTAACATCCACAGCCCGTGTGAAAAGATCGCTGACACAAAACAAGACCAAAGTGTTCATGAAGGTGGCGAGCAGGAATGTGCGCCAATAGGCCCACTGTGCCGCCTCCATTAGGGCGGCTGCCTCGACTATCCGGTTCCCCTCGGCTACCAGTTGCTTGTGGGCAGCCTCTGCTTGCGCAAAGGCAGCATTCGCCGGCCTAAGGTAGCTGTTGCACACAACGTGGTTGACGCTGTCGTGTGCGAGGTAGAGCGAGTACGAATGCCGGCCGAGATATTGGACAAAGCGGGTCGTGAAGGGACGCTGGAGCAAAGGCTGGGCGGCAGGATTGAACCCCTGGTCTTCGTTTGAGACAGGCGACTGGCCGAGCAGCGAGGTGGCCTGAGGCGAGTACGGGTCGCTGTCCCGGCTCATGCCATCACTGGCCGTCGCCATGCGCAGCGGCGGCGAGTACATGAGAGAGGCGAAAAGGAGCAGCGAGCCGCACCCCAACCAGAAGAACTGTTTTGACTCCTCATTTGTCGCGAAAACCGTCGGTGTGATCTTGGACAGTGTCTGATACCACGGCGACTTTTGCCCGTTGTCCTGCGGGTAGCCGGTCAGCCACAAGCTGACGAGGAAGCAGGCAATAGTCGCGGCGTGTCTCAGTAGGTGCATAAGCCGGGCGTTCTTCTCGCGCCGGGTTACGAGGGCAAGGAGGCGTCCCCAGCGGCCGGTGGGGGCTGCCCGTGCCCTGGCAGGGGGAAGGATGATGGACAGCTCCGCGAGGAAGAGACCGCCGGTAAACAGCGCCATGTCGAAGTCTTCTCGGTGGATGAGCCAACAAGTGGAAGTGGCAACAACCATTAGTCGGATCCAGCAACGGGCCCTGAGGAGGGCCAGCAGGAGCAGGAAGACAAGGACAGATCCCTTGAACTCGACCGGGATGGTCCACAGATTTCCACTGCAGCTTTGGCGTCAGCATTATCCAAAGGGATGCAGTCGAGCGACGCAAGGAGGAGAAGGGAGAGGCCAGTATTGATGGCATAATAGCACCACCTACTCGTAAGGGTTGCCGTAGCGGGTTTTACGCCCGTTGATGGCTCCGAAGGGATTCCACAGATCCACCAAGCTCCGTATCCAATGCTGGAATTGCTGGCCTGGAGTGTTGGCGTGAGTGGGAGGAGCAGCGTAGCGGTTGAAAACGTTGAGCTGGCAGAGCGTGGCGATGATTGCCGTCGAGGCGGTGATGGGTAGGAAGAGTCGGAAGGGACGACGGAACAGGGCGCCGCCAAGAGCGTCGAACAAGCGGTCGGGCTGGCCACGGTGGAGGAGGGTGAGGGGCCTCACGGTGAGGACAAATCCAGAAATGACAAAGAAGGTGGTGACGCTGGCGCGGCCGGAATGGATGACTCGAATAATGGGCAGCTGGAGGAACCAGTGGTCGGCCTCGTCCGATCCCCAGCCGTGTCCCAGCCTGCCATACCAGCGATAGCTGTAATGGAACATGTAGACGATCAGGGCCGCCATGCCACGCAGGCCATCGAGGTAGGATGTCGCGTTTAGAGAAGGCTGGGGCTCGACGCCCGATTTGGACCGAAGAACAAACCGCTGGAACGGCTTGGAGAAAAAGGAGGGGAGGATAAAAAGGACAACAGCGACAGCCTTGGACAGCTTCCCGGGCGTCACCACCTCTTGCGTCCAGGCGGACGACTTTTCGTCGAGAACATCGTCGGACTTCTTGGAGTTGGCCATAGCCACAAGCTCGACGTCGCTGCCGTCGCTGTCGTTGGGATGTAGCTGTGTGGGCAGGGAGGGAATGTGCGAATCGCTTGGAAGCGTGGACAACTTTGTCGAGCCAAGATGTGTCCCCGGCCGCCGCGTTTCTTGGCCCTTTTATCTCCTTTCCAATCAATCTGGCGCGCCCTGTCTCAGCCATCTGGAGGCTGCGGCTGGTGCGAGCTGAAAGACCCTTCAGCAATCATTTCCCGAACGGAATGCCTCGTGGCGCACGCTACCCCTGAGCTGAATGGCCATCTGCGAACTGCCGGCCACGGTTTAAGCCCCATCGGGTTTCCTTTCCCGCTCCCAGGGAAGGCTAAGCGGTTGGCTAGGCGTTGATCGTTCCATTATCACGCAGCGGTTGCCAGCTGGAATCGTTCAGCTAGCGCTATGACGCCCGTCCTCCTGCTGAGGCAGAGACCCAGGGGTCCCGTTTCTCCTTGACATTCCAGCCTGGGATGATAATACGAGCGCGTCTACATTTGTATATACAGCTGGCCCTACCGCGTCGCGAAGGTACCTCGACGTGCGCTTGGCCCTTGACGAAAACTGTAGCGGGTCGCCCGATCGCGGACCAGAGATGAATACTCCCACCCAGGCGTGAATGGATCAGGAAGCTGTTTTTTCGCTGTGACACGCTCGTCGATTGCATGGATGCATTCTTTGTCGCCGTCGCGACGTGGCTTGTGGTAACGAATGATGGCGGAACTCCGCCAGGAATGGATGGCGTCAATCTCGCCCGCCCAGTCCAGCCCTTGAATCACAAACTGGAATTCCGCAACGAGGGAGCCCCAACATCTCCCGCGTAACCCAGAGGAAGATCAAGGAAGGAACGTAAAGTGATGTATATAGCTCTGGAATGCCTCCTCCTTCCAGCAACACGCCATCGCAATCCTTTCCCATTCCCACCGCATCCCTTGCAAAGAATCAGGCTAGTCTCCCTGATCGACCTCCAGCCTCCCACAATGCCCGCCCCTGTCAGTCCCAACACCCTCGTCGCCCGCCAGGCAAGCGAGGACCAACCACCGCTCAGCATCAAAGGCGACCTGGCCAAGCTGCGCTGGGCCGTCAACAACCCACCCGCCGACCCAGCCGTCTCCTTCGCGGGCAAGACGATTCTCGTGACGGGCGCCAACACCGGGCTTGGCTTCGCAGCCGCCCTGAGCTACGCCGCCAAGGACGCCTCCCGCCTTATCCTTGGCGTGCGGTCCGCGGCCAAGGGCGAAGCGGCAGCGCAAGACATTTCGGCGCGCACTGGCATGCCCGCCGCCTCCATCGTGGTCGCGACGGTCGACCTGGCCTCGCTCGACTCGGTGCGCGGGTTCGCCGCCCGCCTCGCCGACGTGGCGCCCCGGCTGGACGTCGCGCTGCTGAACGCCGGCCTGGCCAGCCCGAAATTCGGCCTCGGCAGCGCGGGCTGGGAGGCGGCGGTGCAGGTCAACGTGCTGGGGTCGGCGCTGCTGGCCGTGCTCGTCCTGCCGCTGCTGCAGGCCGCAGCAGACAGCGGCGGGCAACCGCATCTGACCTTTGTCAATAGCATCGCGCACGCCGACGTCGAGCGCGAGTGGCTGGCCGGGTCCGGCGGCAGCCTGCTGCAGGCGGCCAACGACGAGGCGACATTCGACGCGCGCAAGCACTACGGCATGGTCAAACTTCTAGCCATGGCGGCTATGCGAGCAATCGCGCGGAGCCCTGCGGCCGAAGGCGTCGACGCGTCCCGCCGGCCGCGCATCGTCGTCAACTCCTGCTGTCCGTACCTTTGCAAGACCGATCTCGGCCGCGAATTCCCCTTGATCCAGAAGGCCGTCACGGCTGTCTTCCAAGCTCTCTTTGCCCGCTCGGCTGAGGAGGGAGCCCGGACGCTGGTCGGCGCAACAGTGCTTGGCCCCGAAAGCCATGGCCGGTTCTGGCACCACGATCTGCTGTATCCGTGAGTTTGGCCCCTGTCAGAAGTCGTGGGTCCTTAGACCTAACTAACAAGTCTTTCTTCTTTCCAAGTGTTGGCGACTTGGCGCGGGACGGCGCTTTTATGGACAAAACATGGGCCGACATCAGGCAGGTTCTGCTTGAGGCGCAGCCCGACTTGAAGAGTCGCTTGGAAAACCGGGAATCTCCAGGAAGTCGAACAGGTTTTATTCCCTAGTCTCGTAGCCAAATCTATGCCACCGATTCGTCTCTGGCGCAAGGCCGCACGAGACCTTTCAGCTCGACACGTGGCGCCTTTATACGTTCAATTGCTTCATGTAGGCTGGCGGATACCGGTCCCCAGCCACGGGCATGGTGTCCACGACCTCTTGGATCTCGCGAAGGTCCCCCTCGTCGAGGGGAATTTCCCTGCAGTTCTCGTTCACTCCCTCTATTCTCGTCGACCCCGGCAGCGGGAGGGCGCCGACCTGGCGCACCCAGGCGATGGCAACCTGCCCAGCCGTCGACCCTTTGCGTTCGGCCACGCGGCCGATGGCTTCGACGAGCTTCAGGTTCCGGGCGAAGCACTCGGGCTGAAATCGTGGGAACACGCGGCGTAGGTCCGTCTTGGGAAGGTCGTCCAGGGAGCGCATGCTTCCTGGCAGGAAGCCCTTGCCGAGGGGGCTGTAGGCAACCATGGGAATCCCCACTGCAGCCATGTCAGTCACAGTCAAAACGCATCAATGTGACGCGAAGGGAAGGAAACCGCCGGCCACTTACGCTCCCTGCATGCGTCGACGACGCCGTTCGCCAGCGCTTCAGTCGTGAACAGGCTCAGTTCCATCTCGACAGCGGCAATGGGGTGCATGGCTGCGGCCCGCCTAATTGTGGCGGCCGACGCCTCGGTCAGGCGTGCCGTAATGGATGCCGCCGTTCCAGAAGTTGGCGCCACGGTCTAGTGCAGCCTTCATCACCGAAGCAGCAGCGTCAAAGTCCATCGGCGGGGGCATATGGAAGCCTGTGGCGTGTGGGTTAGCATATTCGTAACGCCGAATCTAGTGACAGGGGCCATGTTGGTGTCTGTACCCACGAGGCCGTACCCGGTCGGTCCTACCGGCTTTCCGGCAATTATGCGAAGGAACGTCATTGTTCGAAATGGTGGGACGTGAGGAGGAGTCGGGATGCTGCTGCTGGAGTTGCTATATAGCCATGAGAGTTGGGCAGCGGCAGCTTGCCCTTCTCCTAAATAGTCGGTCCCCGTCGTCGCCAAGACCATCCTACATCCCATCAAATCGTCGATACCTCACGACTGCTAACTCCGGAGCCTCCAGCCAAGTTCTCCATGCCGGAGACGGGGACTACCAGCATCCCGAATTTGGGCCTCCGAACGCCATGCCCGATATATCGCCCGCCCCATCGTGTGTTCTCTCGGAGGCCCAGTGGCATGGCCACGCTAACTCCGGGCGCGCCAAGCCCAACACGCAGCGCCCAACGGCCCTGGTGGTGGTGCGTCCGGAGTTAAACTCGATGTACCCGAGCCCAGACCATTACCCGTTTGCGGACTGGAGGATGGGAGCTCAAAATCGGGTGTCACATCACGCCGCGCAACTCGCAGCTCCCTGTCCGCAGCGGTTGTGCAGCCCAGCACTTGGTGTGCCTTCCCTAGTAGGCTTGCCGTCGGTTTACCATCCATGCGGGAAAAGCGGGGCATTTTCCCTCAAACTGCCATATCTACCTGGCTGAGGAAGGAAGAGTCTGCCACGCCGGTTCGCTTCACGGCGGTGCCACAAAACAGCCGCAGCCTAGCCTGCACCAGCCGGGGTGCGCGAGGGCCACCGCTGCTGAATGCTGTCCATATCCGACGAAGACGAGGAGCCGCTGTCGTCGACAGCCGTTGAGACCATAGTGCCCCTCCTCCTCCTCCGCCTAATCCCCCGTTTGCCGCTTTCTTGCTGTTGCTGTCGGTGTTGCTGCTCCTGTGTCGACTTTCCCTTGCCGCCACCACGCTTGTCCACAGCCTCGGTACTCCTCAATGGATCCTCGGCGACCGTGTCGACCCGGTAGCTAAAGTCGACGACGCCGACGAGGCGCTCGACGGCGCGTACCAGCGCCTGCAGGTCATCGCGGACAAGCGTGCTGCAGACCTGCATGACGGCGAACTCGGTGTATCCTCGCTGCTCCACGTTGCGTGGGTCCAGCATGTCAGCGAGGTTGCCCCCGACGTCGTCGTCATCGCCATCGTCATTGGTCCCTGCCACTGCGGCGCTAGACGAAGACGAGAACGGCGAGGCCCAGGGACAGGGGCGGCCAGGGTGTGTGTGGTGCAAGCACCCGCCGCCGCCCGCTAGCCTGTCGCCAGGAAGCCTGGGGTTGCGGACGCCATAGAGAGAGGGCATTTGGATGAAGGGTGGGAGCGACTGGCCCGAGAGAAGTGCATTGGAAAGCAAGGCCAGCGTCGACACAATCTGGTGGTGCGCCGGCTGCACTTCATTTAGCACAGCTCGCAGCGTACGAACCCAGCGTTCGTCGGCAAGCGAGGACTGAGATGATGCGGATGGACCCGAGTGCGGGGAGCGCGTGGCCGTGTATGACATTAAAGTCAGATAGTTGAGGATACTGCATGAAGCGGCGGTTAGCTTTCAATCACCTTCGTCGAGCGTCAGCACTTTTGCACCACCAGGCACGTACCGGTTGGAGCGCAGAAGGATGTCGTCGTAAACCTCGCGAGGAAATCTCCCGCCAATGGTGGGCTCCCAGCTCTGCCAGCTCGAGTGCGACTCAAGCGAAGGCAACAGCAGCATGAGCTTGCCAAAAATCTTGTGGCGAACTTTTGCCAGATGGTGAGCTGGAGATGCCACCTCTAGCTGTGGAGGGGGCTGCTCAGTCTCCTCCTCCAGCTGCTGCTGCGGCTGCTTCCACTGCTTTTGCGCCTCCTCTTCGTCGAGCTGGACGCGGATGGTCTGCGAAATGGCGCTAAAGTAGTTGGCCAGGAGGTACAGCGTTGCACTGAGATCGCGCCGTAGCCACGTCCGGTCCGTCAATGGGCTTGGGAACACGGTCCAGAAGAAGGCAACCAGGCAGCCGCCGGCCACGACGGCGACCCTGTATGGGGCTAGAAGGTAGGTTGGGTAGTAGATGGTTCCGAGAGCCTCGCTAGCGCGGATTCCAATAACTCCAACCTGAAGCTCGTAACCGATGATCAGAACCTGCGTGAAGATAATAAGCATCGTGGCCGGGACAAAGCGAGGGTACTTGAGGAAGAAGTAGTAGTCCACAAAGGTGAAGAACCACATCATGACAATAACCCCCGCAGGCTGCTCGCCAACCATGTACCAGATGACAAAGGATGACAGCATTGCAACGACGGTGCCTCCAACACGGCACAGGAAGCCAAAGATGGACTGGCCCGACGTCTGCGTCATGCCCATGGCGATGACAATCATGGCCCAGACGAGGCGGTGCTCCTGGAAAAAGACCTGGGTGGTCTCTACGAAGCCCACAATGGCGACCGTCATGGTGGCACACGCGACCCGGATCCCGTAGGCGCTCGCTTCGGAAGAGAGCAGCGCCGAGAGCGCCCTCACGCCGTCCCCGAGTCGCTCCCAAGCCGACTCGGGCGGCAAGTGCTCGAGATCCCGCCTTTGCGCGAAGCCGGGCCCCAGGTGCACAATGATGCCGCCCTGATCCATCACGTCGGATGACTCCTGGGCCGTTGGGTCTTGCGACGCGCCTCTCCGGCCCAGCACGCTTGAGGCCCACTTGCGCATCTGGTGCAGCCCAGGCACCAGGAGTCGTTTTGAGGACATGGTGCCGTCTGCCACCTTGGCGTCGGCGAACTGGACAAGATCGTGGACTGCCTCGCCCGTGGCCTGCATCAACTGCTCGAGGTACAGCAGGACATAGAGCTGGCCCTGGCTCCGCCACCGGAAGTCCATGTTTGCAGTGCCAGCCCGGCTGCCGTTGGAGTCGGCAGACAGACCCCGCTCTTTCGCCCAGTATCGTATCGTGTCCCCTTTGCATTTGTAGAATCTTTGCAACTTCTCCTCGATATTCCTGCTGAACTCGGATTCTCCTGGCGCAGTCTTTTCTGCGCACGCCTCAACGTCGGCGCTCGCCGAAGGGGCCGTCTTTGCGGCGGCGGCGGCGGCAGCGGCGGTATTCCGCTTCCTACTCCCCCTAGGTCGCCGTACGATCTCGAGCTGCAGCGCTGCATGCTCCAGGCCTTGGTCGATAGCCTCGGACAGGATGGCGAACGGCTCGTGAAGCTCCCTCATGAGGCCATTCCAGAGTCTTCGCTCCTCCCACTTTTCCTCTATGACCTCCAAGGGGGTCTCTTCGTCCTCATCTGTGATCCAGCCGCGCCGCTCGGCCGTGCGACGGAATACGTCCATGATGGTAGCCATGCCCATACTTTAACCGTCTTCGTTAGCAAAGCAATATGCCCGAGCAGAAACATCCACGGCGACGCCGCAGGTGGCGGTCAGCAGAGACAGGAACGTACACTGGAATAAAGATGGCCCTGAAATATTTGAAGACTTCACCGAGGTCACGCGGGCTAAGCTTCCCCCAGCCCACCTCGTTCTTGGCGAAGCCAATATCGCTTTGGAGCTTTCCGGAAAGGCTCCTGAGCTGCAGCACCGTCCTCTTAAGGTCAAGCGCAACCTCATGTTCCCTTTCCATTCCCATGTTATCAGACTCCGGACCCTCCATTTTCTTCTGTTCCTTTCTCAGCTTCCGCCTCGGCTTCCTTTTCCTCCGCCGCAGGCCCATCCGTCGTCTTTGTTCGGTTCCATCTCCTCCGTCGTCATCTGTTTCTGACTGTGTCGCATCGCAGACCCCGCCGCCTGCACGTACAACCCCACCCCCGACGCTTGTCTCGACGGTACGCAGCGCAAACATGTCCACGTTCTCTAGCCCGTGCAGGTACTCGCCCTGCAGACGGACTGCCTTGCGCAACAGACCCACTCCAACTCCGAGTTGGCGGACGACAACGCCGCGGCTCGAAACAGGGAAGATGAAGAGCGAGACAAAGGTGGAGGTGGCCAGGGCAACGAGCATACTGGTTAACAGGCGGCGGACGAGTGCCCAGGCGGCAGCGGTGGACCCGAGATTGGGGCCATTCATGCAGGCAATATCAACCAAAATGGAAAAGAGGATGGTGGGTATGTTGAAGGATGGCGCCTTGGCGCGCACGAGGTTGACGAGCCAGATGCTCAGAAAGAGCCAGAGAGCGCACACCGTCGACTGCGAGCCGTTGTAGGGCAACCGCCGCGGAGGACCGGTCGTGGTGTCGCTGGTCGTCGTTGTCGTCGGCTGGGGAGGCAGGGACGACGTGTGCAGACGGGCCTGGACGCCGCACCACAGCACCAGCATGGCCAGCGCGGCGCCGGTGGCTATAGCCGTCAGGTTGAGCACCAAGGTCTGTAGGTATTTCCCGCGGGGCAGGATGGCGACAGCTAGGACGCTGATTATGGAGACCTCATAGCCGGTGCTTGAGAAGTAGGCGGTGGCGGCACGCGATTGCAGCATCGAGATGACTATGATGGGCGGGAGGGAACCTCTAGGGGTGTATCAGCTACGTCGCAGGAAATTGGACGGGTAGCCAGCCAAAGGCTGGAATGTTACGTACTTGAGCATCATCTTGAGGGTTAGCATGTCCAGATCCAGCCTCGCGGCCACGCGCTTCAGCCACGGCCTCCTCTCGTGTCCATCAGCAGATGTGCTCGGTGCGGCGGCGCTGGCATCGCCATCGGTAAACACTGTGTCGCCCCTGGAGGAGCCGTAGGTGGTGCTGCCGCCCTCTCGTGCTCGGGACGGCTGACGGGACGGTTGTCGCGGCCTGGCTGGGCTTTCGCCGTGGCGGCCACCGGTGCTGTGCTCGGGCGGACGACTCTCATGGGAGGGAGCCATGGCTGTATTCTCGGGCTACGCACCAGTCGGCAACGAGGCCATTAGGCGGCGGTCGTCTGGAGTCTGTGGCGTGGGTTGGGTTGGGCTGAAGGCGGGTTGGGACCAGCGCGAGTCGATATTTTTTTGGGTCGGCGTTTGGCCTGACGCTTTGCCATAGCCCTCGAGGCTGTGACGCCATGGCTGCGTGGGCTGCTGTCTTAGCTGTCTTAGCAGAGAGTCAGCAGAGCGTCGTCGGAGCGGGGATTGTCTGGGCCTGGCTGGGCTAGACCACAGAATGTCTGCCCGATCAAAATTGGATTTGAAGGCCTCGAAATTACCTGGCTCTAAAAGGAGTCGTTGCGCGCCGGGACGACGCGATAGAGTTCAATTTGATTGACCATGTAGCACACGCAGTTAGCCTTGACTCGAGCGAGTTTTGAGGAGTGCGCGCCTGCCGTTGCGGGGAGACGAGAACCTTCTTGTCGTGGCACACACGCTAGAATCACACAGAAGGCGCACCCCCACGCATGTGCGCATCCCGCTCTGCTCTGTGGGGAACTGGGGCTGCCTGGGCGGATTGACGTCAGTGGTAATGTATCCCCCAATTGCCCCATTACCCACGGTGGACCGGCCTGTCTGCGGCTTCGTGTACATATTAATTGACGAGACTAGTTTCTTCGACAATTTAGAACAACCACCGTCATTGGGTTCTTCAAGCGAAGCATGAGACAAAGAAAAGACACGACAAGGAAGCCCCACCAAGGAAATCCACCCGAGCCTCCTCAAAAAACGTTGCCAAACGACGTTTCTAGATTGGCATGGAAAGCATCGCAGCAGTTCCCCTAAACGAAGGCTAGTTCCAGCGCCGCGGCACCCGTCGTAGCCGGATCGACCCGGGGTGGAGAGTCCTGCGAGCCGTTTCGAAACATCGGACATGGACCTAACCTGATGGCAGGACGCGGTTCCCTTGCATCAGGTGCTGCAACTAGGGGGGTTTGTGCGCCGGCCGCCTGTTGCTCCCGCTCGCTGCGAGATAAGTGCTCCAAACCTTGACACTAGATAGAAACAATGGTGCGAGAACGGGATGCAGCCCCGCCGTTGAGCCCTGGGACCATCGACGGGGTGGAAACAAACGCTCCGGCAGGTTGCCAGCCGCGGCTAGCTCCTAGGAGGCATGCTTCCGGTAGAGCGCGCCCGGCCCAATCCCTGATACACGGCACATCCTTTACCATATCCTGCCGCGGCGGCGAGGCAGACGCCTTTCCAATCGAAACCATTCCGCTCTCAGGAAGCCTTCGTCCCTTTGTGCTTGCCATAAGCACGACGCAAGATGGGAAGAAGCATGCGAGGCAGCCAAGCCGCACACATTGGAAGCCACATACCCGTCCAAGGCATGGCCAAATAGCAGAATAGGGCGATAGTAAAGGGGAGCTAACTCCGAGTCGCCTGCAGCAGCATGTTAAGAGTTATATATGAGCGCGGCACATTTTGAACAGACATGTCTCCCGTCCTTCGGGGCCAGCAGCCACCAGTACATGTAGGGGTCCGCTCCCGTGCGTCACATTGACCGTTGCATCTTACCTACCGGTGCTGCCGCCACGTCCAAGATGAAGTCCTCAGCCGTGGCCCTGGGTTTGCTGCTCGGCACTGCCTCGGCAGTCCCGGCACCGTCAGCGGGCGGGGAGCCTTGCGAAAAGATTGCGCCAGCTGCAGCGGAGTACATAGCAGCAAACCCCGATGCTCGTATGTGCCAACATGTTTCACTCCTAGATTCTTCAAAGGACTAACATGATGGCCTTGGCCAGCCAGCCCGCGGGTCCGGGCCAGGATGGCGTGGGAGTGCAGGTACACGAGCGAGTTCGACTTCCAGATGGCCATCGTCGAGTTGCTTTACACTGCTCATGATGGCCACTTTTACTACCGGCCCGATGCCCTCAAAACCTTCTCGTTCAGGAACGGCATGGCCGCCGGCATCGTCTCGGTCTCGCGGGACGGCCAGGAGGCTCCTATGCTGTACCATGAAGGTGGGTCAAAGCACACGCGAGAAATGCTCCAGCGTCTAGTCACTAACTCCCTCGACGGGCAGAGGCCATCCGCGCGGCTATGAACGCCACCAATAACAGCACAGCCAGGTGGAATAACGAAACTTTGAAAGGTGGCGCGCCGGCAAACTTCAAGATGCCGCCGGCCATCATCAAAATCAACGGGCAGGACGCCATCACCTACACAGAAAAGCTGAACCTAAGGTACTCGAGCTACCAGGACCAGGACTCGCAGTAAAATTCGTACGTGAGGAGCTACTCGAACCCCGCAGGATCGCCCGTCATCGCGGCGTCGCTGGCCTACCCGGGGCCCACCCCGACGATGGCCTACGAGGACGGCACCATCAAGACGAGCGAGAACATGGCCATCCTGCGCACGGGTATCAACTTAACGGGCATCCGCAACGGCGAGGATTTCGACCAGCGCTGGTGCACGCCCGACGCGTCCCTGGCCGAGATGAGCGACGTCGCACTTGAGCCCAGCGATAAGCCGTCGCCCGCCATGCCCGACGAGCCGTCGGTGACCACCATGTACGTCAAGCCGAGCGACAAGAACTCGCCAAAGATCAAGAAAGATCTCCCGCCGCCGGCGCCGACCATCGAGGGCTACCCGTACCCCGTGGTCCGCGACGACGGCGCCAACATCACGGCGGGCTACTTCCTCAATGGCACGGGCTACGACAAGGTGGCGGTCCTGTCTGTGCTCGCCTTCAGCGCCGATAGCGAGTACGAGGGCGACTACCTCGACAACTTCCAGCAGACGGTGGAGCGCTTCCTGGCCAAGTGCAAGGACGCGGGCAAGGAGAAGCTCGTCATCAACGTGTCGAGCAACGGCGGCGGGTACGTGGTGGCGGGGTACGACCAGTTCGCGCAGCTGTTCCCCAACGTCACCATGTTCCAGGCCAACAACATAGGGCTGACCGACTCTATGGTCAACATCGCGCGCGTCGGCACGCTGGTGCTAGACAAAACGCCCAACGCCACCGACGTGTACAGGTCGCCCAACGAGCGCGCGGCGCTGTCGGTGCTCGAGAACTCGGAGATCATGGGCAACCTGGTGCCCGAGTCCGTGTACGGGCCTGACGGGCGCGACTTCTCGACGGTCGAGGACATACTAGCGCCCGTGTCACTCAAGGGCGACTACTTTTCCGCGTACCAAAAGACGCCGCTCAACGACACGAGCAGCAGCTTCAACCTCACGGGCACGGGCAGCCGCTCCAACCCGCCGCCGGCCGTCTTCGCGCCCGAGGACGTGGTGCTGCTGACGGACGGCACCTGCGGCAGCACCTGCACGCTCATGGCCTACCTGCTCATCAAGCAGGCCGGCGTGCGGGCCACGGTGGTGGGCGGCCGGCCGCGCGGCGGTGTCATGCAGTCGGTGGCGGGCGTCGAGGGCGCGCAGGTGTACCGCATGGAGTCGGTCGCCGCGGCGGCGCGCGCGGTGCTGACGCTCGCGCCG